AAAGAGATTCCGCCGACGGTACTAGAGGGCCAGGGCACGGAAGCTAGTAAGCCGAAGAGGAAGAAGCCGTGGGAGAAGGATGGGGCGTGACGGCCTCCTCCTATCAAATATCGATTCCAGTATCGGGTGACAAGTAGAAGGCATGGCTCCGTCGTTGCAAAGGGAGATGGAGACATTCCATGTATGCCCTCACCGCTTGCTTGGTTATCGGATGGTAGTTCGACATGATCAAGTTTCGCAACCGCTCTGGGCAAGTGTCCGGACAGTTCAGTAACCGTGAGCTGTCCGGATACTTGCCCAGAGCGGTTGCGAAACTTGATCATGTCAACCCAATGTGCCCATTCAATATCTTACACAGAACCACCATCTGATGGCCCAGCAAGCTGTGTGTAAATTCGAATCGTAATTCAACATGGTACGTGCAGAAGAGGTATACATGGGATGATTCTTACGTCTAGGTACGCTATAAATGCCAATAACAGCAAGAATGTTGTTCCTTCCTTGTACATCTCCAACATCTTGTATCAAATTGGAGGTGTGACTTCGTCGCAGCTAAGGTTATTGAGGGCGTGTCTATGCTGTAGCTACCGAGAACCAAGAGACGATACACTTGCAGATATGACTTGAGGCGTGCTTCGGAGTACATGTGATCAAGATACAACGATACTATGCATTTAGTCCAGAAAACAACCTACACGCTATGCTACCTACATCCAAGTTTTTCCCTTCCATATATCCATCCACACCCTTCCCCTGTCATCCCCTACCATCCCCTATCATCCCCATCCCCAACCCCAACCCAAATCCCATTCCCAATCCCAGTCCCAAGAGTAAGAATACCAAATAGCAAACTGGGGTATATAGCAGATCCAACCTCCCAACCTTACCTTACCCAACCCAATCATTCCATATACGCCCAATATACACAAACATGAAAAGAGAACATCAACATCAACCCACCCTATGATTTTACCCGCTTGAAAACGAAACGAAACTGTTCCTCCTCTTATAGCACAGCCTCAAGAATGCGATCTTTGAGACTCTTGACCTCTTCTTCTCTCTCCCATAACCGTCGCTGCATGTCTAGGAACTTGGCTTTCCATGCCGCAGGCGTCATCTGACTTGCCCCAGAACCGTCCCTGTCAAGTCCTGCATCGCCATCTCCTCTCCTCTCTGCACTTCCGTCTTCGGTGTTGTCATTCCGTATTTCAAGACCCTTGGCAACCCACTCCCCAGTCAACCCACCAAAATTCACAGCGAAGAAGACGTCGAAAGTTTCTTTGATGCGACTACCCGAGTTACCAGGGTGAGACCGTAGGTTATCCACCGTACTGGCATCACCATCGTCTTCGTCGTCGTCGATGGGACTTTCATAGCCATCACCTCCGATACGGAAGCGTATGCATTCGACGCGACGCACACCACCCGTGGGGCCGCCGATACCGATGCCGACTGCGCTTGTGAGACCCAGACAGCTGCTTATTGCTATGCCGAGGGCTTGGTCGGACATGACTTTAGCTGGGGAGGACGGCAATCCCGATGTTGGTTTTGAGTAGAGCGGTTGGAGGATAGCAGTAGCCAGGGTCTTTGCTTCGTTGCCTCGTAAGCGCTTCCGGCGACCGGTTAGCGGGGCGCGGATTAGTTCGGCGGCTAAGGCGCGGTTGAGTGTTTCGAGAGGGATTGAAGGGAGAGATGGGGATGAAATCGAGAGGTCTGGTGAGGTTTGCGACCGCATTGGGGGTGGTGGTCGTTGTTGGGCGGGTGTTTCAGAGGGAGTGAGCGCGCCGTGGTAAGTTTGGTGTGTTGGCCTGTTGTCTTGTTTTTGGTACATACTTTGTTGTTCGTAGCCATGTGCGGGCGACACCTGTGTCGAAGCGGCGCTTATCGGGGAGGGGCCTAGCCCGGTGCCTGGAGAGTCGTTCTGTTCTCCGTTGACGAGTACTGTTGGTGTGACTAGTCTCACGACCGGATTTCCGACGTTTGGAGGGACCTGGAGACTCAGTCGCTGCTTCTGGGGCGCCCCACCCATGAGCTGGCCTTCCATCTTGGAAGGCGATATGGCAGACGCTGGGGTTGGCGGAAAGCGGAAGGAGTTCTCGGGTGCTGGAGGGTCAGAGTGCGCCCGCTCAACTATCGGTGTCAGGTTGCCTGGAGTGCGGTCAATTGGTGGGCCTTCTTTGGTCTTCGGGTTGGCCGGAAACGTGTTATACGGTCCATCTCGAAACGATCGATTGCTCGGCGGCCGGCCACGAAGCTTGCCGGTAGACGAGGTGTTGTTGGTCGACCATGCCGACGACACAGCGGGGCCGTGACGCCGGCGAGAGCGTGATCTCGCACTGGAAGGCGTGACGGCTGACTGGGGCTCATCGAAGAAGGGGTATGCGGATTGTGGTGTTACCGCAGAGAGTGGATGAGGCGTTTGAGGCGTGTCGTGAGGATTCAGTCGCCATCGTATGTGTTGTCCAGACATTGGCGAATCGGTATATGGTGTCAGGCTTTGGCCTAAACGACTTGGTGCTGAAGCTGCTGTTAAGGCCGAAGAGGGTGTGACGGTTGAGACTGCAGTCCACGCTTCTTGAGGTGTGAGGAAGCCTCCGTGCATGTTGTGAGGATGGGCGCTAGTGGGATACGCTGATTGGGGCTGCAGCACGTTGCCAAACGGTATTGACGTATCCAACTGCGGGCGCTTACGAGCCGGTGTGCCTTCGTCAAAGTCGATGTCGTCCTCTCCGTCATCAGCTTTTCGCCGCCCACGCTTCGGTTTGAACTTGGGATCGAGAGCGCGGATAGCCAGATCTTCCTCCAGAGGTACGCCATCCCGCCCGTCAGCCGGAAAGGGATTGTGAGGAGGAGGTATTTGCAGGAAGTAGGGGTGCTGCTTGCCCAGCAGATATTCGAAGAAGGCGTCGATGTGCATGGCGCGCATCCATCGCTGTGATGGTTAGCAAAGGTCGGAATGATGTCTGAAATGACAAGTGATTGGGGGCCAGGTCGGAATGCGCTGCCCCTCTGACCTGCAGAGGCCCCATCTTCGACCAAGTCGTGAGGAACAGTACATCTCAGATATCTCACATAGTGAGTGGCTCGGTTCGCACACTGCGCCGGATACCAAGTAGGTGGTTCGGATCACAATGAGGCGTTTGAGGCTGAAGTCGACTGCGCCGCACGACCCGGATGACATGCATGAGACATTGTTGGAGCCCGCTGGGCCAGAACTCGGAGAATGTGTAGAAAATGACTCGGCGATTGCCGGATATAAGAAGTGTGAATGAATTTGAGGCTCTTACCTTTAGTCTGACTGAGTACTGCTGCACCTTCTGGGTGCTCTGTCCCTCGTCCGTGTTCGGCGGCTTGACGCCCAGATCCAGCGCCAGCTGTGTCCACGTCTTGATTTCTTTGGCGTCCAGCTTGCGTATCAGCTCGAAGAGGGTCCATGTGTTGAATGCGTTGCCGTCGCTCTTGGGCGGCGTCCGGAACAGCTTGACGAGTTCGCTCGTGTCGATGGTGGTGGGGAAGTTGGGGTTGCAGTAGAGGATAAAGGTCGCGTAGGCGTCGTCGATGGTGTCGTCGGCTACATTGCGCGAGGGCGTGTCGCGGTCGGCGGGCTCGTAGTGGGCAGATGGCTGGCGCGGCTGGCTGGTGGGCGATATGGCAGCGAAGCGCGGCGAGGCATGCGCAGACGCCGGGGGAGTCTGCGAGCTGCGCATGTCGGCGTAGAAGCCGTGGGCGAGGTTATGGGCATTGTCTGGCTGAAGTAGATGACTGGACTGGGGAATGGGCGTGTGCACATTGCGGCTGGCACCTGTGCTCTGCTCCAGTCCCGGATCAATCGCTGCCACACCACCGCCGCCTGGATGCCGGAAGGGCGAGTAGGCCGGCCCGCTGCCAGGCCCCGCGTGTTCGTAGTGCTGGTGGGCGTTGGCTGTCAGGTGCAGGCTGTGCTCCGTCTCTCCCTCGTCGCCAAAGTCGACCTGCATGGTTCTCCACAGTGTAACGCGCTCTGCTGCTTCCTCGGCCCGTCAGCATGCCATGAGGGCGTCGAGATGATTCGCGGCCGCGCTAATGCCAATAGCAGGCCATGGATATAGAGCCAGTCCCGAGGTTTGCTTCTTCTGGCCCCAAGGGGAGTCCTCAGCAGCGCCTGCTGTCGCAGCGGAGCCGGCGAGTGCAGCGCGAAGAGGTCCAACGATAGGATGCGATGCGCCCAGCGCCGTCGCTCGGTCAGGGCAGTCGCGAGAGGGCGATTACGTCGTTTGCCGTCGCAGCGCGCTATGGAGTCGCGTCGTCGAGGGTCCAGCGGGTGGTAATTTGCGGTCGTTCAGGTGCTATGGCGGGTCGTGCCTGCCTGCTTCGGGGCATTTTGGTCAGTTATGCCAGCTGAGCGGTACCCCAGCATCGTCCGTCTATTTTTGGATCAGCCGACGCACCATTGCTCACCACACCCATGTCGCTGCACCATCCGAACCCCTACCACCGCTGCTCTGTACGCTGACTGGCTGCCTATTTACGCTCTACACTGAATATGCGACAATGCCTATCGAGTGGCAATCATCCCAAGCCCTTTTGGTCGTACCTGCCACTGTAACTGGTGTGCCCCGGCCGAACTTCGCTCTTGGATTATTGCCACTACACCGACTACGACCTTTCTGGGGCGAATACTCGTGTCGCGCCGCATGGAGTCTAAGACGGTATCATGGTGCGAACAAGACGCAGGGTAGGGTGAATGAAGCGATCGTGAGACGGTCAGCGTCTTCTCTGCTGCGTCGTAGAATGTGGCGCATACCTCTTGGGTGGAGCGCTGCAGTCAGGTATTCTTCCACTCAGTGAATTGAAGGCAGCAAGCAGGTTTGTGAAACCAGGACTATGACTGTTTTAGCAGTGACTCGTGCGCACTCCGTATCGACACCGCTGACCATAGTTATCTGTGTTCATCCAGTCCCATTATCAACTTCCACCCACACGAGACAGTCTCGACTCAACTCCACGCAGCTTCCGCCAAGATGAGTTTCTCCGCCCTTCCAACAGAGCTGCTCAGCATGATCTTTGATGAGATCCGAAGCAAAGAGGATATGCAAGCCGTTTCTCTCGTCTGCCACAAATGGCGCGTTAATCTTGCACCGCTGATGTGGTACACGTTGAACACCGATCTTCTGCTAAGCAAATCTCAGTCCATGAAAGCACTTGTCAATTCGCAGAGCTTGATACTCCCTCATATCCGACGGATTATCATAGCAACACCACGACGAGCCGCGGGCGATTCGTTTGAAATGAATCAAATCGAGCACAAATTACGTCTACTGTTAACGTTCCTACCTCACGATCGCATCACGCACTTCATGGCCACCACGTTGAGACCCAGCCGTCATACCATCCATATGCTCCTCAAATCCCAGCGGAAGCTCAAAGAATTGAACTTCCGCATCAGGCCCGACGAGGCCTTCACGGGCAAGGGGCCACTTCCTCTCCACACAGCTGGTCCTTTGATGGAGCCTCCCCTGAAAGACCTCACTGGACTAGCTGTATATGTTCATTGCCATCCGAAGGTTGCGGAAAACTCTTTTGAGTACTACCGCAAACTTCTCACATACGTTCCCAAGCTGCAGACCCTATCCATAGTGGGCACGCTCTTTGACGATCGTCCACTCGACCGGTTGGACATGCAACACGTCCTACGGCATGACATAAAAGAGCCGATTCTGACAAGTCTCACTACCCTCCGTCTGAAGCTTATCGACCTTGGAATGAGCCACAAGGCGATTTCCAGGAACATGAACTTTGCTAACCTTCGCACATTGTCACTGATTGGCTGCAATTACATGGCGCCCTTCTTAGATAACCTCCTGGTACAACGCGCCAACAGTGACGGCAGTTATCTTTCCCATCTTTCCGATCTGGAGATCTTCTTCCCTTCTAATTCACTTCATCCCGACAACGACATTCAGGCTGTCCAACGCTTCCTCGAGACTGGTCCTAAACTTGACAAGCTCATCTTGGACGCATCGCGCCATGCCTTGATAAACAAAGACGCTATCATCGCTCAGTCTAAGCTCAAGTTACTGGGACTGGGTACCGGTGAGGAGAGGAGAGGGCGCTCATATGCTGTGGAAGACGTCAAAGCGATCCTAGCCGCCTGTTCAGAGCTCGCAAACATCGCCATTAATCTCCCTGCAGTGAGCCTAGGATCCCTTATCGATCTAGCTCATGACTTCAGACTGGGAAGACCCCAAAACTTTCTCACACATGTAGAGACTGAGTTCGAAGCCATGCTCGTAAGTTCCAGAACCTATTTACTCCTCACCATAAGACTACCAGCTAACAACAACCCATCTAGACCGTACTCGCCCAACACACCCAGCTTCACACACTCCGCATATTGAACCTCCCAGATTTCGGAGAGATCGAATTAACACACAAATCCGACTCGCTCAACTCCACCGAACATCGCTTAGCCCGCGTTATGTACCAGAATTTCGCAACGGAGATCATGCGCTTCATGGCAAAATGCGGTACCGCACCCATATTCTTTGACACCCGGCCTAGCATTACTTATCAAATCTTCGATGAGTGTTGCTGGCCTGCGTATCTGTTCAATAAAGGGTATGTTTGTGATGCGAGAGGGAAGAGGGAGGTGATGGCGGTGCCCCTGGACAGATATCCGCAGGATGATAAAGAGTCGCTTGTGATGCGTATGGCGGGGTCGAGTATCTGATGGGTTAATATAGTGAGCGGTAGATATTGGGGACGATGAGCACGCGTTTAATATGGGAGCTGAGTATGTAGCCAGGTGAGGGTCCAATGGGAAGGAGCGACTCCGAGCGGGCAAACTTTGGACTGTTCCTACTACTTCGACTGCGTCTATACCAGCCCTAATTGATCGCAGCATCTATGCATACGGGCTGGCGCTCTTCAGTAAATTGGAATTATGGTTGGTGATACTCTGGGTGTGTGTCTTTGCTTTTGGACTGCTCGGAGGTCGCCAGGTTGCCGCGGCGTCACGTGATGGTATGGCACACCGTCTTCAAGGCCAGAGCGACAGCCTCTGAGCTAACTTGATGATGTTTCCAACTGTTGCCTTCATACTTGACTTGGATTTCTACAAGATGCGCGTCGTGTTTACTCACTCTTGCCTCCCACTACGTTGGCGCGTTGGCGCTCTGGCCCCGCCCTTCTCACTTCTTGATCTACACGCTTGCGACCCCGATCCGACTTTGCGCTTCCATTCCATCATTTCACAGTAGTTGGTGTCGCAGTTGCAACGCCCTCATGACACTCGCATACTATGTAAGCTCCAGGGAACGTTCGACGATGAGCAGTTCTCCCTGCTTGAATCCTTGGGTTGGTGGGGCAACACATTGACGCGTCGTCGCACGAGCCATGTTCATGCTGAGCCGTCCACCCGCGACGCGCAAACTTCCCCCCTTTCACTACCTAGGATCGTAGCAATCCGCGCTCACGATTCCACACCACCATGGCGAGCGCGACGTTCTCCGATTTGCCAACTGAGCTGGTCGTCAATGTTTTCGCTTTCGTAAGTTCCGGGCATTGCCGCTCTGCAAGCCAGAAAGCGCTAACACATGTGTTAGATCCGGCAAAAGAAAGATCAAGGCGTTGTATGTCTCGTCAGCCGCTCATGGCGGGAGCTGATGGCTCCTATCTTGTGGGAAAAGCTTGAACTCAGCTTGGGTGATCACCAAGGCTCTTCCCCTGGCCGCTCTTTGACGACGTTATTAGATCCTAACTCTGGGATCCTCCCACATGTACGGAATCTATGCTTTGAGGACTTTACGGATGAGGATTCGAATAACCGTCTCGAGTCGCTGATCTTGGCACTTCCACGCGATAAACTCCGCATTTTCCAGGCCTATGGCGGCGACATGCAGCATGAGGTTTTCTTGCAATTGTTGCGATCGCAGACCAAGCTCGAGAAAATCTATGCAGTAACTCCATCTCTCTGCCTTGGCTCGACGCGTGCCACACATATTGTTTCCCAGGAATCCCGCGCGAGGGTTGCATCGCTGACGCCTGAACTGGAGGAGATTACTCTCATTCTAGAGTGCACGAGGGAAGACAAGGTCGACGATGTCTACCGGGATCTGCAGAGCTTTATCGACCTCTACCTGAGTCTCGAAAGGCTGGAATTGTCAGGCGAACATGAAGATCCGATCTCATTACAAGGACTGCTCTGGCTATCGCCGGAAAGTCGCCTATTCTCCAATCTAACGTCTATCAAAATGGAGGCAATGAGCTTGGTACCGGATGCTTCATATCAGTTCTCCCACAACTTCGACGTTGCAAGGTTAGAGAAGTTGCATCTCAAGGACTGCAGCTCGATGTCGCTGTTCTTCGAGAGTCTCTCAGAATCGTACATTGAGACACCCGGTAAATTAAGGGAGTTGTGCATCGATCTACCTGGTCCTGATCCCTACCATGACGATGGTGAACACGATGTACAGGTCAAGACCACAGAATCCATTGAAAACTTTCTCAAAGTCTGCCCTAGACTTGAGAATCTTGACTTAAATCTTCGCAATGGCAAACTTGTCGACAAAAGTTGTCTTCTGCCTCACGCTGAAACGCTCCGTAACCTCGTCATCAAAAAATCCCGAAACGAAAGTACGGATTCTCAGTCGCACTACTACTCGGAAGACGAAGTAGGGGTAATTTTGAGGGCGTGCACAAAGCTCAGAGGACTGGCCATCAATCTGCCACCTAGCGATCGCGGATATATCACACAGGTCGGGGACGGATTTCAATTCAACGCAAATGAGTAGGATTGTGCCGCTTTCAAAGATGTACTAGTAAGTAATGTCCTTTTTGTATTGGTATCTTTATTGATTGGCATCGTAGGCACAATGTGCCGCACATCCCAGTCTTCATACCATGGAAATACTTAGCGAGCCTGATATCACATTTTCTTATGATTCGGAGACATTTGAAGAGACGCCTTTGATGGAGGAACGCAGCTTCCGTGCGTCGTGCGAGGCTGCCATGAAACATTACAGCGACCAGGTCTTCAGTTACATGTCGCAGTGTGGTACAGTCCCGAGACTCCTCCTAGTCGAATCCTTTGACACTAGTGATTTTGAAGAAGGTATGCCGATGGAAGATCGTTATTTCTGGCCTTGGTATATCCACACACGCGGAAATGTTGGAGATAGTTCGGGCAGCAATCTAGTAGGTGCAGCGCGCGTTGAGATGGAGAAGATATCGAGGAACTACCCTGGCGACTTCATCCTCAGGCGCTTCTCTAGCTAATGTCTATCGTGGGGTTGAAACTGTATTGTATCTCATAGTATGCAAATCAAGAGGGTAACGCATGCTTCAGCGTGTACCACATCGGAGTAAAACCTAGTATGCGCTCTATCGTATGCCGGGTGAAGGACTTTGTTCACTTCCACAAGTCTTGGCAGCACGCCAACACTGCAAAAGCTGCGCGTTCTTCCTACCCTTCTCGCTACGCACCTTTCTTACTTCTCATCGACGCTGCTGCTACATGAGATGTCTCCGCGCCTGCCCCCCGATAACCTCCACGCCCAGCCATGACGCACAGAAACCTTACTGATTTACAGCTCGAATTGGTCGGCAACGCCTTTGCCTTGGTATGTTGCATTTCGAGAAGGATTCTGGATATCAGGGATGTGCTGACAAGAACATGCATGTGCGACAGAAGACCGATCAAGGCGTCGTGAGCTTCGTCAACCGCCCGTGTCGTACGGTGAGGCAGATCTCGGAACTACACAAGCACGTTTCAACGAGCTACACTCTTTCTTCTGCTAAGCGCCGTGTAGTGTTAAGAGCAGCTGGATCTCTGGACGAAGTGCCCAAGTATCTAGTGAACATGAGTGTCGTCTAGCCCTTCTGTCGCCGCCTGTACGACATCTTCGTCCTCTTCATCGCTATACACATCGAGCCCCGCTCGAAATGCCTCTCGCTCCCAGTCCCGTCCTTGCCCGTCTCCCGGCCACCCAGCTCTTCTCATTTTGCGCACAAGCGAATTGAACTCGTCGTCCGCGTCATCAAGCTCCCAGTACATCGGTACCGCCTCGATGATATCCGTCTGGAGACCTATCCAGCGCAGCTCGCGGAACCGTTGTTTGCAGAGCGCAAAAAGCTCGCGTGGGCGATAGACATTGAAGCTCCCCCGCCAACTCTCGTTCTCGTCCCTGGCGTAGCGCTCTTGCACCACGGCATTGAGCTCTGGCGCTGGCTCGTCGGGCAGGCCGCAAGGTTCCCCCCAGTAGACGTAGCCATCGGCCGTGTTGATGATAAGATTGTAGCCATTACGCCCGTTGCTGTTACCGAAAGAGATACATGAAGGCGGTAAGGGATCGCCTATGGGTTCAACGTAGTATTCGAGATCGCCTTCGCGGATCCGTTTCTGCATCGCATCGCTGCGGTAATCCTGGATGCGTGTGTTCTTCATGATGACGTGCTTGCCGTAGGCTTTGTCTGGCTCAACAAAGTCTACAAAAGGCATGTGGCGGAGCAAGTCGATGACTGCATCGGTCTTGTTCAGGTTGGCCATGGTGGATTGTGTGATGGATGGCCAGCCATTGTCGGGGGCTGGGGACACGGCAGAATTATCCCAGAAGACTCGATTGCAGAAGTCGTAGTAGTCTGTCAGAAGCGTGATGAAATCGACTTGGTCGAAAGGCATGGTAGCACGTCAACGTTGGAACCTAAGAAAAAGCTGAACACCCTAGAGCCTACGTTGATGTTAGGCTACCTTTTGCAAGTTTTTAGCTCAAGGTAGTCTGCAAACTAGTTCAGTTTCTTTCTATTATGAGGTGGTAGGAGGAAGTGGAAAAGAACACTATTCCAGCATGGTGGGGCGAGGGCAGAGCGGATTACCTATGCTGACGGTTAATTAGGGCCTTCAAACGTCATCACGCGCCGACACCGACATACCCTGTTTCTGAGCAATCGTCCAGATAACGATGCGCCCTCCGAACCTCCATTCCCCGAAAGCGCAATATATATGTATGCCTATCATTCATCAGCGGATGCGACGAAGAAAGTGTAAGTGCACGTTCGAAACGGATCCGTCGAATACCCGGCGCTCTTGAACTTGATGCTCGCCCCGGCGACACCACAATGCAGCTCAGAGCGGAAGAAGCAACGGGCTTCTATCGTTACTATGGTCCCAGGCCTCGCGATCGACGACATGAACGCTGTGCGCTGGTGTTCGCTGGAAGAGGCTCGCCCACTACTACGAGAATTCGGGCTTGAAGATGAGATTGAAGCACGACTCGACACATCTAGCCCGTACTACAGCATTTGCAATCTGTGGCTGAATTGTGCAGTGAGCAACACGCCTATGCTATGCGACCGGCTGCGCAAATGGCACTCGACCTGCTTGACTAAAGATGGTGCTATCTAGGCCAACTGTCAACAGCAGAACAGGCATTGCTGCGCGAATGTAGGCACTGCCGTCTTCGTCGTCGTATGAGGGAAGTCCAAATCGCATTCGCTTGATGAACTCCAGGGCAGGTAGCCATGTCGCCTGTTGTCGTTTCAGCGTCATGCTACTACTGACGGAAGCGGGAGTGGATATGGTAAAGTAGAGAATGAGGCTTGAGAGCATGTGAGGTGCCAGCAAAGATGGGGTATGCGGTTGGAAGGCGCGACGGGGCACTGCTCGCGAAGACTGTCATCACAACATGTCAGGGAAGGCACGGTCAGACACGACAAGAACCACTGTACAGATACTGAGTACGAACGTGAAGGTCACTCACACTCGGTGGATGACGACTTTGCTCATCCAGTATCTGGCGCACAAAGGCACTGCGCCAACGGTACTGATCATGGATCCACATGAGAGAGGGCGCCATATATACCTCCAGGCTGCAGCATACAATCGGACTAAGAGACGGCTGAGTATCATTGCGCTCCTTCCTGTGCCCACCCTGCCATGCTGGACCCTTATCGCGTCCACAAGTCTTGGCGGTGTAGGAGCACACATCGCACGAGCCACGTACCCTCACCTCGATTGCTCTCACTCTACCTGGGCACTTCCTAGTCACCACCTTCCTTCGATCACGACTGCGCCATTGATCGACCGACTGTAGCGGCCCTCCAAACGCAACATGGCGTATGCGACCTTCGCCGACTTGCCGCCCGAAATGGTCGGCAATGTATTCGCGTTCGTAAGTGGTAGCGATCCTCACACATATGGAAAGCGCTGATAATTTGAACAGATTCGATCAAAGCCTGACCAGGGTAGCGTCTGCCTTATCAGCCGCGCACTGAGAGATTTGATGGCACCCATGATGTGGGAAGAGCTCGAGACAGACTTTCGCGATGTCTCTACTCGACAGCTTGCGACACTGCTACATCCAGAGTCCAGAATCACGAGCAATGTTCGGAAGCTGGACGTAGGTGACTCTGCAAGCTCGGCCGACGGAGAAGACTTTGTGAAAATGCTCCTCACCGCGATTCCAAACGATAGACTCTGGACTTTTGCGAGCTCTGCCAACATCACGACCCTCACATTTCATATGCTTCTGCAATCCCAGCGCAAACTCAAGCTGCTGGATACCTTCACTTATTTCACTACTCCGGGGCTATCGAAGTCGACTACTCTTGACTCTGCGGAGCATCACACGTGGATTGGTTTATCACTGACCAACATCTCGTCCATGACACTGGAGATTATCCCACACCAAGTGTCAGAGAAGCGCATTTTTAGGAGCATAGAATCTATTTCCAAGATGTGTCCGAGACTAGAGGAACTGCTACTGACCTCACATTCGTTGGTTCAGTACAAGAAGACCTCGCTGTGCGCAATCCTGGGTCATGCAAAGGAGTTTCCGCTGTTCGCGAGTCTTACAATACTGCGACTATACGGTCTGAGGCTTATAGGACCTGGGCATCAAGCCATCTGCAAGAGTCTCGATCTCTCCAAGCTGTGCACTCTGGACGTGCAAGGGTGCGATCATCACGTACTCTTCATGCAAGGACTGTCTTCATACTATGCTTCCGGAACTGGCGACTTGCAAGATCTTTGTATTGCACTCCCACTTCATCTCCAAGGGGCACAAAAGACAGTGGAATCTATCGAAGGACTACTCAAAGTGTGTCCGAAGCTCAGAATCCTACGACTAGTGCTCGAGTCGCATGGGTTGGTGGACAAAGACTACATAATAACACATGGTCAATCCCTCCACTCGCTCATGATAGGTACTGGGAGGTCAGAACCAGCCCGTCGTTACCCTGATACAGACATGGCAACTTTACTGCGAGCTTGTACTAAGTTGAAGTGGTTGGCACTCAACATACCAGTGGTAACTATGAGTTCTGATACACAGCCTGGTATCAACTTTAAGCCTGACGTGGAGTTTTCGTCTATGCTAGTAAGCTTTCAATCGCTTCGAGTACGTTATAAGTGCTAACTGAATCCAGTCAGCACTCTGTACGCATCCCACACTAGATGTATTGCGCATCCTCAACTCCCCTAAGATTGATTTGGACCGTGATGGCGAAGAGGTGGTACCCGCAGATCGCCATGTTCCTCTTTGTCAAGTTCTCATGCAAGAATTTGCAAGCCAGGTGTTCCGTTTCATGGTTGACCATGGATCTGCGCTAAGGTTTCTTTGCGTTTTGCCTTGCAATAGAGACGAGCGATCGGAGGGGGAAGAGCTAGATGTGGATGTGAATGGTCATCAGTGGCCCGCGTACTACTACGTCCGGGGTCGTGTTTCGGAACCAACGGGCAGAAATGTCGTGATCGCACATCCTTCGGCGGACCTGAGATTGGACTTTCCCTGTCTAGAAGACTTCCTCACTTACTTATTAGAAGACTGACACCTCTACGCCTGATATGAGGTGTAGTAAAACGTCGGGGAATCATATTCGAGGATCAGATCAGTAGGCAGTCTCTTGGACTACGTCATTCGAACGACCTACGAGTCTCTTGAAAGTTAGCTAGCAGACACGCTCGCATGTATCAGGGCCTCCTTAGACCTGCAATGCAATGCGATTCAATGCAAAACTATGCAACGCTATGCTAAACTAACAACAAAAGGGTATAATGCTTTTCTCCAACCAAAGACCGTTACTCACAACCTCTTCCTTTCCCCTCCCAACAACCAAATCATGCCTTCTCCGCCTCCAATTCCTTAGCTTCGCGCCTCCTCCGCCACACCGGGCCCATCTTGATCTCCAACAACATGAGCGGCATCAACAAACAACATATGCCACCCCAAAACGTATACGTCCAGCCATCGCCCCACGCACTCGCCATGCGATCGATGATAGAAACCAGAATCGCAGCCAGCGAGCAGCGCACAAGGTTCGTACACGCCGTCGCACCTGAACTGCGGGACTGCAGAATATCGATGTTGAGTGTCATCGTGGTGTTGAGGATACCAATCGACGTCCAACCCAGCATAACGCCAAGGATAAGGGGAACAGCGATATGAGCTTTAGCCTGTATCGTCCAACCCCAAGCAATGACGCAGACGATGAAGAGGGAGAGGTAGAAGGGCATTATGCGTAAGCGGGCGTGTTCAATAGTGAAGTTATCACCACACCGCTCTTTGATACGTCTATACTCCCAATCCAACATCTTGCCCGTCATCGTAGAACCCAGAATCATGCCTGCACCAACAGGCAAATAGCAGAGCCCCAGCACTGTCTCCGACAACTCCGGGTATATCTTTGCAAAAGCCGAAGAAATGGTAGCGGTGATTGTGTAATTGACCGCGTAGACCAGCCCGGTAAAAGTGAGCAGGACAATGACATCAGGGTACGTAAAGAGGACAAAGGGATTAACAGAGTGTTTAGCCTTAGCGCGGGAATCCGGGTCGAAGGCTTCTTTCGTTGCTTTTTGGCCGACGATAGGGAGGATAGCGCGTTGGAGGCGGGGCACAGGGATACTGCCATTACCCGCGATGCTCCTCAGGGTCTCAGGGAGGAAAAGCGCGATGCACAGCAGACAAACAGCCACCATGATGACGATGGACCAGAAGATGGATCGCCAGCCCAGACCCTGCGAAAGTGCGCCTCCAATCGCAGGTGCGATACACGGAGCGAGCATAGGACCGAGGTTGAACATGCCAAAGTAGCCGCCTCGTTCGCGGCTCGTGGATATATCGCCTATGACGCCGGCGCCAAGGGCGATGGTGCTGGCGCTGCCGCCGGACTGGAAGCAGCGCAGGAAGAGGAGCAGCCAGAAGTGGCTGGTTGGACAGAGGGCTAGGCCGATGGACGAGGCGACGAGGATGCTAAGACATACCAGGTAGACGAGGCGGCGGCCGTAGCGGTCACTGATGGGGCCCCAGAGCATAGGGCTGATTCCTTGGAAGACTAGGTACACGGTGACGGTTTGGTTGATGGCTTCGGAGGTTTGGTTGAAGGCGCGCGCGAGGGTTGGGATGGCTGGGAAGTAGATGTTTGCGGGGAGGGGGCTGTGGTGGTGTTAGCTACTGCTGTTGTATATGTCTTGACTTGAGATGAAAGGGAAGAGTGTACCTATAGAACCCCGCCAATGCAACCATAGCTACGATGAGCCATTTCTCTTTGCTGGTGTATATACTATATGGGACTTCGACTTCACCTTCCACCGGCAGCTCAGGTGCAACAGCAGCCTCGTCGACCGGTATAGGTTCACGCTTGTTCTCTTCGTCGGCAGCCATAACCAGATTCCAAATATCAGCGCAGCAGAAGGAGATGAGCGAAGAGGGACAGCCTCATGCAAGGCGACGCCGCAGCGCTCAACGCCCATGATAACTAACATTCCTCTCCCCGAGGACGCTACACGCCCTCGTCGGAGTATCAAGCACCGCACGCAGTGTGGTTGGACGAGTGTCGCCCATCTCGGTCAAGACCGTGGGGAAGGTCCGGCAGACCGGCGAGAAGTCGGCAAGCGCGTCTATAATCAGGCCATTGCGCAGCGCAGCAAGCATGCAGCCGACAAGACCTCATGCACACCACGGCATACGCATCGCACATCCACCTCCGTCATGGTCGGAGTAGCATCCTGAAGCTATGGCTGCACACAGTCAAGGCGCGGTTGTTAGACGGCTATCATGCGGTTGTCGGCTTAGCAGCGCGCGAGGTGGGCCAGATCGTCATAGACCCTTTGTTGTGGGATGCGTGCATTCGTGCATTGAAACGATTTTGCAGCGCTCGGTGCCGAACGGGTGCGCGTCTAGCCTTGCCGGGCACAGGATGCGCGAACCAGAAATGTCGTGTTTGCAAAAAATCTCTGTTCGCGATAGTCGCAAGCTCGCCACTATGGGGTAAGCAAAGAGTCATAACGACGTTGTACTGGGTGGAGCAAATGATTCAGGTATATAGTCGCGCCGGGGCCTTATCGCATCACACGACTGAGCCAGTTTCACACTATTACTTCGCATTGCAAGCCGTAGACGGACATAGCGAGTGGGTCGTCAACGGCGTCTGTACCATCATCTCGGGTCCCTTACGCACGACTGACAAACTTTACACGCGCAATATCTCGGGGTGGAGCGGCGAAAACGGTGCTGCGAGCCAAGAGACCAACGGGTCCGGGAAAAGAGATGGCAGACGCCCCGAATGGAGGTGTAGGTAGTAGCAGGGTGGGGAGTGGTGCTCCTTCGCGGGAACAGGAAGACATCAAGCGGCCCAATCTCTCGGTTGGGGAAGTCGCGGGTGTGGAGCAGCAACATGGCGATGTCACGGTGGGCAAGCACGAAAGAGTTGGAGGGTGGAGAGGGGTGCTGAGTTTTCTGGAAAAGAAAGGTGATGTTGAGCTCAGAGGGTGTACGCCTGTGCCGTATGAGGATAGGACAGAGACGCAGTATTCTAAGATCTTCACGCTTTGGTTTTGCATGAGTTGTAATCCGTTGCCGTAAGTGGTCAATTGGAGAGTGGTGGCCTTGCATAATGGCTAACGGGTATGCAGTGTGACCTTTGGCATGGTGGGCACAATATCTTTTGCTCTTAGTCTGAGGGACGCGGCGCTGGTCATTCTTTTCTTTACCCTCGTGTCGACGGTGCCGGTGGCGTACATGTGTACGTGGGGGCCGAAGACGGGTATGCGACAGCTGGTCCAGGCGAGGTTTTCCTTCGGGAAATACTTTGTTTCTCTGTTGATACTGCTTAACCTTGCAACGCTCACGGGGTTCTGCGTTGTCGATAGTGTCATTGGTGGTATGGCTCTGTCGGCGGTGCAGGACGGAGCGACCATCAACGCCACGGTGGGTATCGTCATCATCGCCATATTGTCGCTGGTCATCTCTTTCTGCGGCTTCGGAGTATTGCATCACTATGAGCGCTGGGCATGGATCCCAGCATTGGCCGCACTCATCATTGCAGCAGGATGCGGGGGTAGCAGCCTCAGCCAGCAGGTAGCAGCGCCGGCTGCCACAGCGTCACAGGTCCTCTCATTTGGCGGTCTCGTGGCGAGCTTCATGCTTCCATGGGCTGCACTTGCGAGTGACTTCTCGACGTACATGCATCCCAAGGCCCCTCCTTTCCGAATCGCCCTTTACACCTACATTGGCCTTGCCCTCCCTACGGTCCTACTCATGACCCTCGGTGCAGCGATGGGAGGTGCGACGCCGAATATTGCCTCATGGCAGGCTGGGTACGACGACAACGCAGCGAGTGGTGTCCTTGCAGCCATGCTTCAGCCAGCTGGCGGGTTTGGTAGCTTCGTCACAGTCGTGCTTGCCTTTAGCATGTTGGGTAACCTGTCGGCGACAATGTACAGCGTAACACTAAATCTGCAGATGCTCCTTCCCTGGCTCTTCCGCATCCCGCGCATCTTCTTCAGCATCGTTATTACTGGAATTGTAATTGGCGTTGCTGTCGAGGCATCCAGCAGCTTCTTCCTCAACCTCGAGAACTTCATCGGCGTCATCGGGTACTGGAGCGCGGCCTTTATTGGCATCGCCATCACCGAACACGTGCTGTTCCGACGCAGCAGCTTCATGTCTTACACCGAGGATGAAGAGGCGTGGGACGAGCCGAGCAAGCTACCACCCGGTTTCGCGGCAATCGGCGCGTTCCTGCTCTCCTTTGGCCTCATCATCCCGTGTATGGGACAGATTTGGTGGACAGGACCCATCGCGGAGACTACGGGCGACATCGGGTTGGAGGTAGCAGTTGTGCTGGCAGCGGTGCTCTATGTACCGTTTCGGGTAGCAGAGAGGAGGATATACGGGAGGTAGTCACAAAGTAATCCAGTAGCAACGGCCAATCAAGAGTGATGATTACATGTTTGTTGTGCAGTGCATGAGGCGAGGAGATTGCGCATGTTGGTAGTTTGGAGAGGATTACCGCATGCGACTAGATCGGGGGAAGTTGTTGCCTCGGTTGTACGTCTTACCCCGGAAATGCTTGGTGACGTTCACAAGCCAGCCGGAGCCGCAGCTCAAATGCGGAGACGAAGACCATCCGACGAGACTTGAAGCTGCTTCCCTTTTGATACCCTCTACTTCACTGTTTATCCTAACCTTCCCAATCTCATCGGCTTACCGGCTGCTCCTTCCTCCCGCCGCGACAACCGCCCGCTTCCCCTCTTCAGCTCCCGCGCGACTGAACCTTACACCCGACCATGTCTCAAACACAGGAAAAGGCGCAGGAGAAGCTCATCGAGTCGACTTCCTCGGTGCCCCAGAGCACGGCGGCTCAGCAGAGCGACAATGTTGCGCATGCGCTGGCTGGCGCTGGTGGAGGACTGCTGTCCATGGCCCTGACGTATGCGCCATCGCGACAAAGCGATGCGGGCTGCTAACAACCCCCAGCTACCCGCTCATCACCCTCTCTACCCGCGCGCAAGTCGAGTCGAAGCGCGCGCAGTCATCGACGCTCAATGCCGCGCGACGCATTATTAAGCGCGAGGGTGTCGCCGGCCTCTACGCCGGTCTCGACTCAGCCCTCTTCGGCATCAGCGTCACAAACTTCGTCTACTACTACTGTACGACAATACACGTCTAAGCAATATATTAGACTAACGGCATCAGGGTACGAATGGACCCGCTCCTTCTTCGAGAAGGCTGCGCTCAAAGCCGGTCGCGCCTCCTCCAAGCTCACCACGGTCGAGTCCATGATGGCAGGCGCCCTCGCCGGCAGCGCAACCGTCCTCATGACCAACCCCATCTGGGTCGTCAACACGCGCATGACGACGCGCAAATCCGAAGCCTCCGACGAGTCGCTCCCGGGCGCGCCTACCCCCGCACAGAAAGCGCCATCGACGCTTGGCACGCTCTTCGCCCTTGTCCGCGATGAAGGCCCCGCGCGCCTGTTTGCTGGTGTCATGCCGGCGTTGGTCTTGGTCATCAACCCGATCCTGCAATACACTGTGTTTGAGCAGCTGAAGCAGATGCTGGAGAAGCGGAGGAGGGTCACGCCCAAGGATGCCTTCTATCTTGGTGCGCTGGGCAAGCTTTTGGCTACCAGCATTACCTACCCGTACATCACTGTCAAGAGCAGGATGCACGTTGCGGGCAGGGATGGACCGAGGGAGGATATGTTGACCACCTTCAGGCGCATCATCCGCGAGGAGGGATACACTGGCCTGTACGGAGGTATGGGGTATATCGTTCGAAGTAAAAGAGAACATGTGCTAACCGTTCATAGGTATTGGACCCAAGGTCACCCAGAGTGTCATCACCGCCGCCTTCCTCTTTGCTTTCAAGGACGCTCTCTACGCCTACACGATCCAGGCACGCAAGAAGCTTGCCATGCGCAAGGTGTAGGGTATACCTCGAACTGGTACATCTCGGAAATGGTTGCGGTCGCAGTCGTAGCTGTATATCGGGTCGAGTCGCGACCCGTAAAAGGAAGTCGACACTATGGAGGACGATGGAGAGTCATATTGGGCTATGAGCACTTGCAGGAGCATTGTTATCACGGTATGTCGAGGGACCACGAGGCTTCAAAATGTATATACCCGGAATTCCACGCATTACTATTATTGAATTGGAATGGATCTTTTCCATTGTCTGGTTTAGCGATGCTATCGAAAGACAAGGCGGATAGCATCCCGTCTCTCCGCTTTTCGCGTCATCAGGCCCTCTGGCATGCAACCGCCCGCTGCGGGGTACTTTAATCGAGAGGTTGTCAACGCCCTACTATTGCATCTTACATATGTACCTGCAGCACGAATGTGCCCTAGGGCGCATAAGACATGTAGAATCGGGCAGTGTTTATATCGATGGAGGTACAAAGGCAGTATTCGCCATTTCATCATTTCATCTCCGTCTTCCTCTTTCGTCTCGACATCGGGATAATCCAACTTCGCAAACATGAGTTCGGAGCCTTTCACGCTGAGGTGGGGTATTTTGGGTATGCACAATTGTGTCCAAATATAGATGAGAGAAGGCTAATTGACTATAGCAACGGGAGGTATAGCAACAAGTAGAACCCTCTCATCTTCCTCAACCCACCCTTCCTAAAACCCCACAGCATTCACAAAAGACCTCCTCATCTCCCCCCAAACCCGCTCTGCCTCCGATGTCCGCCACGTCGTCGCAGCAGCCGCCTCCTCCACATCCACATCCCGCGCCACCTCGTTCCTCACCTCCGTCGGCGCACCTTCCACCGCACGCGCCTACGGCTCCTACACCGAGCTCGCCTCCGATCCCAATGTCGACATCATCTACATCGCCACACCCCATTCCCACCACTACCACCACGCCCGCCTCTGTCTCAACGCCGGAAAACATCTACTCGTCGAAAAACCCATCACCGTGAACGCGGCGCAATGCCAGGAGTTGAGGAAATTAGCGAAAGAAAAGGGCAGGTTCATGATGGAAGCCGTGTGGACGCGTTTCTTCCCTCTCTCGCGCGAAGTCTGCTCCATCATTCAAGAAGGGAAGTTGGGTGATATAAAGCGTGTATTCGCCGACTTCAGTTTCTGGAATGATGTTGAAAAAGAATTCGGGTCGGAGCATAGGATGGTTAACCCTGATCTCGCGGGCGGCGCGTTGTTGGATTTGGGAATTTATAGCCTGACGTGGTTGTTTATGGCGTTGTGGCACTGCCAACCGGAGGGGAAGAGGCAGGAACCGGTTGTGAGTTCGGCGGTTAGTAAGTATGCGACGGGGGTTGATGAGACGACGACTGTGCTTTGTCATTTTCTGGGGTCGGGGGCGCAGGGCGTGGCGGGTACGAGTATTATTGTTGCTACGACACCGAATGCGGAACATCCGAGTCCTGGGGGGGATGCGGTGAGGATACAAGGGACGTTAGGCGACTTGACGGTGGATTACGCGCCGAAGCCGCGTACGTACACGTTAACGCCCGCTGCGAACGAGAAACGTGGGAAACTGGCGGACTTCGAGTACGAAGTCGTGGATAAATACAAAGAAATTTCAGGGGGTGGTCACGGCATGTTCTGGGAAGCAGACGAGTGTGCGCGGTGTATCCGGGATGGGAAGCTGGAGAGTGAGGTGATGAGCTTGGAGGAGACGGAGGTGGTTATGCGGGTTATGGATCAGGTTAGGAGGCAGGGGGGTGTGGTGTATCCGGGTGTGATTGAGAGTACGGAGGCGGGTTTGGAGGGGTTTGGGGTGTAATGGGCGGAGTAGGGATAGATGGATGTTTGAAAGTGTAGAAGAGAGGAGGAGCATGAGGTGGAAAGGCTAGTAGTTTGAAATCTTGGCCTTGCAAGAGGTGAGGAGCTAGACTAGCAAAAACCTCACTCCACCGATTTCAAGCTTCTCCCTTATACCACCATACCACTACTTTCGATCAAATCCTCAAGATCCTCATACCCCTCCCCCTTCACACCATCACCCTCTCATATCCTCAGCGTAGCAATACAACCACGCCACTCCTAACCCCCCTTCGTAGGCTTAGGTTCCTCTGAAGCCGGTGGTTCCTTGGAAACAGGCGCTTGACGTGCGTTGTTGACATTTGGGTTGGGGGCCGTGATAACGTAGACTGGGTCAGTTGATTCGGCTTCTTGAGCGATAGTATCGGTGGCCGTGATGACGTAGACTGGGTCAGTCGGTTCAGCTTCTTGAGTGATAGTATCGGTGACCGTGATAACGTAGACTGGGTCAGTCGGTTCAGCTTCTTGATGGGCGGTGGTAGCGATATCATCGGTGGCCGTGACGACGTAGATTGGGTTACCATTTGCTTCAGCCTCTTGACGTGCGTTGACGTGCTTGGTATGGATGGCCGTGATGACTACGATCGGGTCAATTGGTCCAGCTTCTTTGGTGTTGGTATTGGTAACCGTAATAACCTCGACTAGATCAGTCGGTTCAGCTTCTTGACGGGCGGTTACACGCTTGACATGGGTGACTGTGATAACATAGACTGGATGACCACCCGCTTCAGCCTCTTGACGAGCGTAAACATCGTTGGTAGCCGTAACCGTCGGGGTGCTGTGAACATGACTTGCAAAAGGGCAGTCAGGCCCAACCCAACCCGGAGGACAAGACTTCGTAGGTCTAGGTGGTGAGACGACAGTGCTGCAGTCGCTTCCCACATGGCCCGGAGAACAAGTTGATGTTGGCAATGCCTGCCTGGCAACAAGACGTTGAGACCGTCCGCCGAGATCTTCAGACGCGGCTCTAGGCGCATGAGTAGCCTTCGCCTGCCTTGCGACCCACCGCTGAGACCTTCCACCGCCGTAGTCCGGGGGGAAGATAGTGCTAGTCGCCATGGGCCAGCAAAAATGTACATCAGGATTATCGTCCCGCGTAAAGGCGGAGGAGTGGCATCCACATTCGTACGAAGTAGAGCAAGTAGGCTTAGACTTATCCGGTCCGCATTGAATATGCGTAGAGATGGCAGTCGCATAAGTCTTGGAGTCCCACTCGGTGATTTCAGTGCAAGTCGCAGTAGTTGGCAGAGCCTGGCGACGCTGAGCAGTAACACTGACACGAGTCGGGCGGACAGAGTCCGAGAAACCTTCAGAGGGCTTAGGGATTTCCGAGTCCCCGGAGGTCTTGGTCTTGGAGGGCTTGGGCGGCTTGTGCGTCTTGATGGACTTGGAGGTGTGGACGCTGGCTCGGGTGTGGGATTCGACTACGGTGAGCTGGCGGCGGTGCGCGGTGATGGTGCGGGTGAGCTCAGTGGAGTCGGCGGTCTCCTTGGAGGTGTAGGCGTTGGAGCGGGCTGGTGGAGTGCGTACTGTGGTGCAGTACTTGGGGTTGTTGCATGGCCTTGTTGTTAGGGTTGTCTCGCTGCCTTGGCTCATGGCGAAGCCGATGAAGCCCAGAGCGGTGAGGCAGAGAGTGGTGAACTTCATTTTGGCTGTGATGGAGTTAGTATCGAGGTAGTGAGATGTGTAGGGACTTTGTGGGCTACCTGAAGTTGATTATGTTGGGGTAAAGGAAGAGAAGTGGGTAGAGAGTGGAGTGTAGGAGGAGAGGAGCAGTAAAAGAGGTTTATATACACCTCAATCGCAATACAGACACGATGGTCCAATGGAGACACTACCCGGTGGGTACTCACCTTCGTTTGTAAGGATTAAGTAAGAGACGCGACTGATTCGCAGATGCGATGGGGCGGAGACGTCGGAGTTCGGGGTGAACTGTTTGCTGAGAGATTAGTGAGTAATCGAGCACGAAACACCTGCGACCTAATAATATGCCCAGGTTACTGGGAGTACACTCATCTCACCGCGTGTGATGACAAGACAATGGGTATCAAATAGATCAATAACATAGTAAGTAGATTGGAGAGTAGAAGAATGTCTGACTGTACTCGAGATAATAATAATGCAGTACTACTCAGACTCCGAAGTGCTCAACTCTACCTGTATATCCGTGTAATAAATATGCCCCGTCTATATCAAAAGACCCTGTGTAAAGTTCTCCAGTGCAGCTCGATACTGCTGACTATACTCTATGATAATCTGCTGCTGGTACCAGCTATGTCGCGCATTGTGGTCGGCCACGAGATTATGCGCAAGCTCGTGACAGTATGTGCAGAACCAACTGTCCAAAGCTGTGAGCTTCCCTTCTTTAGTCTGGCATCCATCGCTATGCAGGGCAATAAACCAAGCGAGGTTGAAGAAAAGACTACCATTCATGTTGAACGCCACCGTGTTAGATTTCTTGTCGAGGAAGATGTTTACCGCCGCAGGGTTGACGCTGAAGATTGATGTGAGGCCAAAGATGAGCGGTAGGAACTTTTGGAGGTGAGATTGCAGGTCAGTGAGCGGCGCAGTCTCGTCGCGGCCATAGTAGATGTCGACGTGACGGCCAGAGAAAGGCACCGAAAACGCTTTGTGCAGGTTCTCCCATTGTTCGCCAGTGCAGTAACCTCCACGGTCGAGTTCCGTCGGGTCCTGGTGATGCTTGGTGTTAATGTTCTCCATGCCAGTAGGCCGACATTCCTTGATAGCATTCTGAATGTTCGATTTCGTAGCTTGGATGTCGCGACTGATCTGGGGACCGTCTGTACCCTTGGAGGACGAGGAAGGTGCGCTAGGTGCGTTTTTGAAACCGAGCTTCTTCGCCCAGTTGTTGATGAGACCCTGCTCCTCTGGTTGGCGGCCATGATTGGCGATTTCCATGCCACCCTCTGGACTACCAAATGCACCAGGCATATGCTTGCCTTTCTCAGGTGTCTCAGGTGGGATGTTCTCTCTATCCTCAGACTTGACGTGACCGGACTTGGCTTGTTCTGCAACTCGCTGCTGTTCCTCTTCTTCGCGCTCTTGCTCGGCTTGCTTAGCAATACGCGCTTCATGCTCTTTCTTTCGTAGGATACGCTCGACATTGATCCCCTTTTGCTGGAGTCGGCGTAGAGGCTCAGTCAAGATGCGCTCTAGCGCAATTGCGTCGTTGCGCTTTGGCCGCGATACAAGCAACCTTACCAGTTCGCTTGACACCTCGTACAGATCGTATTTCGGCGTGATGCTAAGCACGTACCCCGTACCACGCACCTTGATGATAACAGCCGATTTGCGTGAAGATGTTGCGACATTGCGTTCCGCTAGTGAATAACGGATGGAGATATCCGACACGCATTGCACCGTCAAATTAGAACCCAGCCACTTGGCATCATGTCTGATAGCCTTCGATGAAGCATCGCGTTCATACTCATGAAGGAAGAGACGCACACGTTCCAGGATGTCCCGTCGAAGATCTTGGGCTGGTGTCTGGTCGCGCGCTACTGTGCCGATGCGTTGGTCAGTCTTGACCAGCTCCGAGACTTTCTGGACACCGAATCGAGCGTAGAACTCCTCGAGAAGCTCTTCCTGTGGGGCTGCGATGATGAAGTCGCGGAACCGGGTCATATAGTTGACGTTATCGATAATCACGATCTCGCCAGCTTTGTTGAGCGACCACTCGCGGTGGACGTTGTCCTCATCAAGATCATCAATGTCGTCTTCGCCTGCATCGGCGACATTCTTACTATCCTCTTTGATATCGCGGTAGCCGAGAAGCAACCTCGATGCTATGAGTGACTTGACCAAATCCTTATCTTTCCACAGATTCGGAGCATGTTCGGCCAGCTTTCTCAGCAAATCGAGATATTTCTCTTGCCCAATGGTGTTGAGGAACCGAGCAGGATTCTTTGCGAGGAGGTACGCCAAATCATGAGTAGTCGGCTCATGCTTTGCGCCAACCTTGAGAAGGAAGACTGTAGCTTCCGCGCCATAGTGAACGTAATCGAGGATGCCACGGTACTCTTGATCACGACCCACGAAAACATGCTCGGGTGGATCGTAGTGATGGATGCGCATCTCGGTCTTGCCAGTTTGATTCTTGGATCTATCTTCGAATCCGCTGCAAGCGGGGTCAAGGTAATACTTCCGAAAGATTGGTACAATGTTGGAAGTCGCGAGGTTCTGTATGAGCCCTTTGTATTGATCCAACTCGGATCCGCGCGAAGCAAGATAGGCAAACTGCATTTCTGCATCAAGCTTAGTCTTGGGTGGTGTCTTCATCAGGTATTGAACACATGGGCCTATGCTTGGATCGCGCTGAACCCCCAGCTTCTCAGCATGACTCCGAAGATCACTTCTTAGAATGGGGAATCCTAGGCATGCTGCGTGCTCATTGGTGTAGCACTGGAACGGACCAACCAACGCCGGGAAAGGAGCCTGTTCTGTCGGCAAAATCGGAAGGGTGAGGGCGGCGAACTTCTGATGTTCCACAGCGTAGTTATTCTTGTAGTAGTTCGTTAACAGGTAATCCATCGCACGCATGTACAGCTGGAGATCCTTGGCTTGACCGGCGCGATGGAGTATGTTTGCGACGGTGATGGAATCTGGGCATTGTCGTAGTCCAAGACGTAGCAGCAATACACCCTCTCGTGTAGTGGGCTTGAATTCGAAAGGCAGCTTGATTTGAGTCAGGCCTAGAGCTACGATAGCCGGGTCGGGGGCATAAAGGTCTGAAGCTTTGAACTGCTCGCCAGGTTTTACTAGAGTACCTTCTCCTGGCAAAAACGCTGTCTGCTGTAGACGACTAAGATCCTTCGCAGGAATTTCGTTTATGACTGACGCGAAGTAGCGGATAAGGTCAACGTGATTCCAAGTCGGCTTTTCGGATTTCTCTGACTGCTGCGCGTCGCGACTGCGCATTCGATCAAACACCATAGGAAGATCGATGGTCTTCCGAACACCGAGCGCCAATAGGAACTTCTCCTTCGAACCCGCAAACGGTGTCACAGTTGGCAAATCGTCAAACAGCTTAACAGTAGGAAAGTACGACTCCGCGGGTCGCCGCATGCCCATCTTCGTCGGCAAGATCGTGTGTGGGGTCAAAATCTTGACAACAGTCTCCTTGGAATTTCCGTCAAGTTGTTCCCAGCACTTGGATGTCAGTGTTAGCACAGAGAGAGCAAGGTTCTCATCCTTAGTAAACTCGTCTAGCTGCGGGCGTGTTGTCATGTGTCGAAGCCAGCGAACCATCGACAATTCCACCCAGCCGAAGAGTTGCAGTTGTTTGATCGACATGCCTCTGGTGAAGGAGAAAGGAATAGTGTCCGGCGGAAGAGGTAGATGTGCGCCGATACGCGCTGGGTTAACGAACGTGCTGATGTCGCCCAAAGCGAGTATCCTGCCAGAGTTCTTTTCTGGCTCAATGTCGATATTAGCCACCGTGTTTTCGAATAAGCTACGAGACCCGGGCACATCAATCTCGCCGCTTTCCAGCTTGGATCCACACCACTTAAGAAATTCGGTAAGTTCATCTTCGCTGAGTGCTCGTGATTCTAATCCTTGACGAATATCCTGCATTGTGAGCTCTGTGATGAAACCGCGATTGTGTAAATTGAGCATGAAGTCGACTGCTGCATTCGCGAGTTCTTGTGGGACCATGGGTACTTCTCCCAAGAAACTTAGAGTTTCTGCGGGCATACGCACACGCTTACTGGACATGACGCCCTTGGTCGAAAGGATGTCAATGGATCGTTCCTTCGAACAATTCCAGAACGCCTCGTCGATCTTATCTCCAAGGGATGTAGAAGGGTGCGATGACTTGGCCGTGTATTGTTTGAACACGTAAGCAGTCTTCGTGATCAAAGTCTCTATGGGTTCCTTGCCGAATTGGGTCTGCAAAGCTGCCAATTCTGCTGCGTAGGTGATGCGACAGGCCAACCCTGCAACGCGCAGAAGCTCAATATTCCAGGTAGAAATGTAGCGAGCGTTCATGTCGACATTCTCGCGCTCAACCGTCGGGATAAGAGATGGCGCAGAGATGTGCGCGAGGTAGCCAGTCGTCTGGGCAGTCGGAAATCCGATAAAGATTCGTCCAGATTTTGTGGGAAGAACTTCTGCAAAGATTTTGTCGGCAAGCGCAGCTGAACTGCCAGAGCCCGTGGCCAGCGTGGCTGACGGATCTTGGTATGGACAAGTCAAAAGAGCGATTTTGGTCGTCTTCGGAGGTGACTTCTTAGTCGCGCGCTCAATCTCCGCAGCAAAATTTCGTGACACTTTAGTGGCCGCCACCACAGTGCATACTTGCAAGAAGATGGTGCCAGTCGAATCGCCTGCTATCTCTTCAATAGTATTCGTCTTCTCGGCCGTGGGTTTGACGTTCTTCGTGGGCGGCGGAGGAGGCGCCGATGCGAATTTCGAGAAGAAACTCCGTAATGAAGTACCTGCGTTGCGAACTTCTTGTTGTACGAGGTCGGCAGCTTTCTTTGGGGGTATCTGAGCAGTAGCAATGACGTTCATCCAGGCCGCATCAATTTGAGAGTGTTGTTGCGTGACATCAGTCACCCGCATCAAGCCGCCTTCGGTCTCAGTCTTCAGTCCGTTAGGCACACGCACCATTTCTGGGGGTGATATCTTCTTGGTGAACGACGCAACGACGTAGTCGTCCACATGAAGCTCGATACTTTGCAGACCGACAAATGTGAGACTCGTAGCCAGAAACTGACACAACGTGGGCAGATTCGGAAGCTTTGATGGGTTGTAAGACGCAGATTCGACTTTTGCTTGCCGGTATTCCAGCATGAAGATCGTGTCTCTCGATTCATGTTCAGCCGGTACTGGGGCGGCTTTGGTTGAAAGCATGTTACCCTTCCAGTAAAACGCCATAGTCCTGTCTCCTGAAACGACGAAGGGCTCATCGCAATCGGCAAACACGCTGTAAAATCCGACACCGAATGCCCCAATCTTCGTTTCGTCCGGATTACCGTCCGCGATGCTTTTCA